TCCACATTGCCCCACTTCAGCCCCGGTATCGACACTGGGCCTGACCCAGAATGGGATGTAGGGAGAGAGAGGCTGGGGAACCACCACCCGCCTCTCTGCTCTGCCCTACTCCTGAGGCCGCGAGCCCCAGCCCGCACTCAGTGAGCACGCGTGGCCTGCCCACGCCACGCCAGACTGGCTGGGGGCCACAGGACAGGGAGGGGGTCCTCGGCACCGCTGAAGCAGAGCTTGGAGCTCCAGGGGCCGGGAGGCGGGAGACCACCAGGGACAGGCCAAGGAAAGGTGGGAAGGTGGGGCCTCAGTGAGCAGCGCCGGGGGTGCAGGGCCGCGCGGGGGCCTCCCGCGGGGGGCTCACCGACATCTGCCGAACGGCAGCCTCTGGACCAGTGGAGACAGGCAGCTGTAGAGGCCCGTGGAGGAGGACAGGCAGAAGATCCCTATGATCACATAGACTGCGGGGCGGGGTGGGGCGAGCATTGAGGGCCGGGGGCCACCTGGGTCTCCCACCCTGCCCCCCGCCCGAGAAAGGGCTCCAGGTGTTCGTGCACCCTAGCTGGGCGGCCGGCAGCTGGTAATGAGAGGGACAGTTCCCCGAGCAGAGGCCCCCTCCTTCGGGCTGGCGATGGCGGCCCGCGTTCACCCCACCACCGACTTCTCAAGTGGAACGCCGCAAGCAGGCGGAGGGGGGACCCGAGACCGGTGAGCGGGGGTACAGGCCTCAGCGTCCCTCTGGTGAGCCGGGGGCGCACCGAGCTGGTCGTAGAAGTAGTACAGCAACACCAGCATGGAGCAGCACATGACCACGAAGACACAGATCATGACGGGCGTCACGTCCACGGCCTCGTCCTCCTGCTTCTCGGGCCCGTCGTCCCGCTTGTGTTTCATGTACCTTCTTGGGAGGCACAGCTGGGTCAGGGGCACCCTGCCGGCCGGCACAGGAACGGGGAGGGACAGGCAGGGGCAGCAGGACGCAGGGGTCCACGGGCTGAGGGGCGCCCCCTCCACGCCCATCACACATCCCTGCTCTCCCTTTGACAAGAAAGCCGGACCCCACCCCAGGGACCTCGCGAGACCACGCGGCGAGGGGCTGCCAGGCGGGCCCCAGCCCCAGGAGCCAAGCCGTGACGGCCGCTTTTGATGGAAAGAGGCGCGATGCCCTCGGCCAGTGCTAGGACCACCCGCGGACCCCAACCCGGCACCGACCGCGTCACAGGCTTCCCTGGGTGGCCAGGGAGAGGTCTCCCCGGGACACTCACTTCCTCACGTCCCGGCTCCCGGCCCAGTAGCCCCCGAGGGCGACGGTGCCGACGGCCATGACGAAGATGATGACCATGTTGTAGTCAAGCATGGGCTCGTTGGGGGCATACAGCGCTGCCCTCGCCGATCGGCCAAAACTCTGCCTCGGGGAAGGCACCAGAGCTCAAGGCGGGGGCTGCCGTCCCGTCCCCTCGGCCACCCAGAGAGCCCAGACCGGCCCACGCGTGGAGCCGGGGCCCCGGGAGAGCCTTCGCCTGCCACTCCCACCCCAGAGAAGTCAACTGTCGGAACGAGTGTCACACGACGTCCGGTGAAGGGGCCCACGCGCGTGCGGGGACACGAATCCTAAACCTAGATGCGTGTGCACGTGCGGGAGCGGGGACGTCGCCCCGGGAAGCATGTAGGAGGCCGACAATGGTTCCCTTGGGGGAGCTGTGAGGCTGCAATCAGGATCGAGACATGTCCTGCAAATTGCCAGAAGCTTCCACAAAGATTGAACGTTTCCATTTTAATTGTGTCTGGAAGCTCGCCTCTTCTGGAACCAACAACTCCCCCGATGGTGGGTGCACACAGGCCTCTGGTCAGACGGGGCCGTGTGTGGGCAGGGACAGCCAAGCTCAGGGTCTCCGGCGAGTGGGCGGGGCCGGCCGGTCTGGTCCGGAAGCCAGTGTCCGGCTGCCGCTCAGCACAGAGGCCCCGGAGCCTGGGCGCTCTGACCGCTGGGGCCAGCGTCTCCGTTCCCACGGGTCAGTGTCACCACCGGCCCCGGGTGGGCGGCCTCTCGTGGGTCCCTGCCCACCCCTGCCCGCCAGATACTCACGGCCTGGCAACAGCCGCAGACCGGAGGACGTGGGAAACCCTACCTTGAAAATGTCCAGCATGTCTTTGTAGCTGAGCAGGGCCACGGGATGCCGATCTCCTCGTACTGTGTCTTGTTGCCTCCTGGAGGGACCTGGGGGCCGAGAGGGTGTATGTGGGGGCCATGTATGGGTTTATGGGAAGGGCTAGGCCTTGGCTTCCCAAGAGCTGACCTGAGGCCTCCAGGCCAGGCGTGGGCCGGGGTGGGTGTGTGTGTGGGGGGTGTCCGCCCCTCCCCACCAGGGGAGGAAAAGTTCTCCTTCCGTGTTCAAGCCTTGGGGTCAGGTTGCTCAGGTGTCACTCTGCCCTGGGGGGGGGGGGCCTGCCTGGGGGAGAGGCAGGCGCGTGGGATGTGGGCCCATGCCAGCTGCTCCTCAGAGGGTACCCCCCGAGCTCTGCCCCGAGGCCTTGTAGAGCGAGATGGGATCCGGTCTCCCCAGAGCCCCCGCGACTGCTCAGGGACAGGTCCCCCTCCAAGAGACACGGGTCCGCAGCCACGGTCAGCAAACCAAACCCCGGTCTCGAGGCCCCGGGGCCCTACCAGCGTCTCCCTGCTGACGATGAGCAGTCCGCGCGCCCCGCCGCCCTGGGCCAGCCGCACTTTCTCGTAGAAGGTGCAGTTTCCCCGCGCCACCAGCGGGATCTGGTTGCTGAAGCCTTTGGCCGGGAGGTCAGGCGGAGAGCAGAGCACAGAGGCCGTCCAGTCCCGCAGCTGCAGGAGGGACTGGGGAAGGGGGCGCTGACACCACCTGATCTAGAAAAGTCAGTGGGGGGCCGCACGCACACACACGTCCACACGCCTGAGCGCGAGGCCGACGGGAGGGGCAGGGGGTGGCGTGCGCTCAGAGAAAAGCCCCCAGAAACCTTCCCAGCATCCACTGCAAACGGAACACGGGCTGGGCAGGCGGGAGCCGTGGCCTCGGCAGTGAGAATCACCCACAAGCCCATCCAGCACGTGGGGGGTGGCCAGCGCCCCCGGCAGGGGCTGTGCCTCAACACCACCCGAACGTCCTTTTGTTTCTGACCAAGGAAACCAAGCCCCAGAGAGGTGATGGGGCCCCTCTACGGTCGTCTGAGACCCCAGCAGCCCCTCAAGTGTGACCAGGCCCCCCACGTTGGTTTCCCAGCTGAGGCCCTTCCTCTGTCCTCCAGCTGGTTCCCTGCAGGGTGAGACTTGTAGCAGTCCCCTCAGACAGCAGGCTGGGGAGCAGAGGGTGGCAGCCAGCAACACAGACCGGACCCCAAGTAGGAGGGGGCACCCCAGAGCACTCCGGGCCTGCAGGGCCCCAGAGGGGACGCCCCAGTGGGTACTCACCGCTTTGCTCAGGTCGTGGGGCAGGTGGGCCCACTGTGGGTTGTAGAGAATGCAGTAGTCCTTGCCTCTGGGGCCCCCTGACTCGGAGACCACGTGCACCATGCCGTACTCACAGGCCACCTGGGGTGACAGGGCGGTGAGTCAGAGAGCTCAGCACCGGGGCTTGACAAGGAGGACAACCCCCACCCCCCAGCTCAGGGTTTGGGCTGGTTTCTTCCCCGGACAGGACGGATGGGACACCGCCATCCGCATCTTACGGCAGAGGAACAAGGCAGGGACAAGCTTCTCGAGGGAGACCTGGGTGCTGGCCGTGGCCGTGGCTCTCACGGCTGGGACAGCACCACGTCACGGGGCCCTCCAGGGATCGATGGGACGGGGAGAATGAAACCCCCACGGCTCTGTCATGAGGGGGACGTGGGGAGCCAGCGGGTCTGTCCAGGGGCTCCAGGCAGAGGCCGGGAGCACAGGGCCAGGCAGGAGGCCTGGAGGAGCTTTTCTGCACCCCAGCAGGTTTGGGGATTGCCCCTGACCCTGGAAACCAGGCTCCTGGAAAATCTGGCCACTGACCAGCGAGGCCAGCTGGGTCCAGGCCCCTGGTGCCAACTTTCCGGGGGGGGGGGGGCGTCAGACCCAGTGATGTGACCGGCCAGTGGGATCCTGGCAGCCAGTGGGATCCCAGGTCAGGACTGAACCCCTTGCCCTGGGGCGTGGCTGGGAACTGCCAGACTTCGCCACAGAGGAGGGTCGTGCTGACGTCATCATCAGGGCGCGCACAGTTGTCCCTGCCAGAGCCTGCCTCCCCACACACCTAACCCTAACCCCACACAGCCCCGGCTCCCCAGAAGGAGGGAGGAGGAGGGAGGGGAAGGGCCACCCCCAGAGGGTCAGGAGGATCCAGCAAGCTTCGTCTGAACTCAAAGCAAGGCACAGGGGCAGATCCGCGTCCTCGGAGCACTGGACGGCCCTCGAGGGCAGTGGGGTGGCTGGGGGCCTGGGACAGAAGAGGCCGACAGCCCTCTTTTCTGCTGAACGCCAGCTTAATCTATGTGACAATTCCATCACACAAAGGTGTCCCCGCTCCCTGTCTCCATCCCTCCCTGGAGCCGCTGCCTGGCCGTCAGGTGGGCTTGATTCGCAAGACCTCTCCCGCCTCCTCCCCTACACTGGCCTGGGGCAGGGGCGCAGAGCATGACCTCTGTCCCTCAGGAGGGCTTTGTCACCAGCGGGCCACGCGGCATGTGACGCCCAGGTCTTGGCTCCTCTGCTGGCCGGTAGGCTTGCCCCAAGTCTGAGTAGCTCCCCAGGGTCTGCTGAGAGGGGAGGGGGTCTCAGGAGAGACACCCTGTGCGAGGTGCCAGGAGGCTGAGTCCAGCCACCACACCCAGGGGGCCCTGCGCCCGCCTGACCCCCGAATCCTGCCGTGTGCACCTAGGGCTCTTGGGGCCCCCGTGTCTCTAGCTCGTGCTCCCCGTGGGCTGCAAACACCTCAAGGCCGAGATGGAAAACTCACTCCTTGGTACCCCAAGAATCTGCCAAGGAGACACACGTGCACCGGCGGGACCCAGCGGGCACCGCCAGACACACACCTCACCGTCGGGGCCGAGGGTCCTGATGGCTCACGGCTCCCAACACCAGGCCTGGGGCCCTGACGGGCTTTCATCCGGCCAGAGCCTCGGTGGGAACACAGCAAGGCCCCGGCTGTTCCGGGAGCTTCTCACCCGGGCCCTGGTCACTTGTGGCGGCGGGAGCGTGGACCGACCCCCCCCGGCCTCCCAAACCCGCAACCCGGAGGCCAACAGGAGGCACTGGGCGTCCACCCTGCGCTTCCCCGAGGCACCCGGCCACCTCTCTTCCAGCTGGCATCTCCACTCTGACGTTTCCGTCTGCCGCCTTGAGCCAGGGACCCAAGGCCACGCGGACTGCTGGGTGTGCTCTGTGAAGCCGTGCTTGACACAGCACCCAGCTCTAAGAACCCGGGCTCGTGGCAACAGGGCCAGGGGCCACCCGAGGCTGACCGGAGGTCTCCTAGCATCTCGCTAAGGCTGTGTCCTTCCCCGACCTGCCCTGGCCAACCTCCGCTCACCTCAGTCCCTCCACCAGAGACAGAACTTCCTAACTCCTAATTGCCCCCTCTTCCAGATTCTTCCCACCAGACTGTCCCCCAAGGGCATCCTTCACCCTGGCTGAGGCCCCGCGTACTGTGCCTGGCCGTCTGCTCTTTCCAATGGGCCACCCCGTGTTCAGGACCCCAGCACCTCCTCACCGTGGGCCACTATGGAGCACATCCGATCCCCAACCCACCGGCCTCCTGCACCCCACCTTCCGTGCTCCTGAATACGTTTCATTGGAGCACGGCCACCCGCTCCTGTGCGCAGGGCTTCCGGCTGCTCTCCGTGACCACGGCAGAGCTGGGCAGTCGCTACACAGACCACGTGGCCCACAAAGCCAGAAATATTCACCATCTGGGCCTCTGCGGGACACCTTTGCTGACCCCTGATCTGTGGGACCCAGGTTGTTGGAGAAAAATGTCACGTGTGTAAAGGGGGAACGGGTAGAAGCTTCTAGAAAGGTCACTGCGGAATACAGACCTCCGTCCCCACACTTGGCACAAGCAGCCTCCTGCTAAATCAACCTGCGCTTCCATCGGATGCCCACATACAGTCTCCTCCCCCACAGAGTTAAAGGAACCAGAAGATGTTCCTCAAAAGGACCCAATATGCTACAACTGGGGCTTGGCCAGTCCCGGTCTGGGATAACGGACAGGCCACCTTCCGACGTGTCACGGCCACCAAGTAGGTTCAGGAATGGCAAGGGAGACCGTGACTCAGGGAGACCGCGAATGCATTCCACATCAGGGGGTCTAAGAAGAGCCAATGCGTCCAGGCCAGAAGCAGCCTCCCCTCTAAGACTTGGTAGGTCTTAGGAGAGGGGGTAGAAATAAGAACCCAGGAAACTTGGAGATGCTGAGGCAGAGGAGGGGTGGTGACAGGTGGAGGAGGGGCAGAGGGCACAGATGGAAAAGAGGGGACAGATGGAAAAGAGGGGACAGGTGGAGAAGAGGGGACAGGTGGAGAAGAGGGGACAGATGGAGGAGTGAGGACAGATGGAGAAG